ACAGTCCTTGGAAAAAGCGCAGACTTCCATCACAAGATGCAGCCTGGCTTAAAACAGCCAGAAATTAGTGGGAAACATGTTTTACATTCTAAATATAGCTTGTGCTGCTTTGTCACAGCGGAAAGCAGCTTCGCAGTAGCTGGCTTTGAAGCACAATTAACTAATTGTTATTGAACTAATCAGCATCGCTCCCGCAGCATTCCTGATGGCAGCATTCCTGATGGCACGGAGGTTCTGCTGCACAGGGGAAGCTCCTTTCCTTGCTCCCGCTGCTCTTTCACAGGCACTGTAAGAAAATGGCCAATGAACACCAAACATTTTTCTCTCGCGCTGCTTTTCCTTCATGTGAGGGAGTGACTGCAAACATCTGCAGATCCACCTTTTTGGTCTTGAGAGGTACCATCCTTGCATTCCTTCTCTAAGCCCTTACTGCAGGAAAGCCCTTTGTGTTCCACTTTGCCTGTTCTGCAGATCAGTCTCACTGTTTTATCTCGTGACCTTCTGTTTGTTGTGTTGTGTTTGGCTTTTGAATCCACTTAACTGTTGCTTATCTACTTGAGGGCAGTGACCACAGCTGAAGAAGAAACAATCTGTTCTCCTTTCCACTGCAGGGATATAACTTAAATACATTGAGGATAGTTTAGGTTAGGCATCAAAAAATAATAATTATGAGAGATATTTTATGAGTTACTGTTATGTATTTTATACATATATATATATAATTTATTTTTAAAATAGGGGTATTATTCATATCCTTGTTTTAAGAGTTCTTAAAATAGAGATATGCTGGCAGAGCTTGTGTGGGAATGGCAGGGCAATCTGGAAAGTCAGTGATGGAAATGACATGAACATCTGACCGGCAAGCTGATCCTGGCGTGACACAGGAGGGTGATGTCTGAGCCCTCTCCAAACCCTTCCCAGCCCTATTTTCCAGGGCTGTGTGTGCCAGGAACCAGTGAGTAAACTTTGGAGGCACTGGTGTGCAAGATTTAACCATCAGTGCATGCTCCAGTGAATGTTGCTGTGCCTTCTCCCTGTTTTTACTCACTAGTTTGATAACATTACAGCTGATACTCGGAACATGCTGCAAACACCCCTCCTTTGTAATGTGGAGACGTACAGATTAGAGGATTTTGGGGCCTGGAGCTGTCTCTTTGTTCTGTGTTTATGCAACACAATGTGCAATGAGATTCTGGCCTTTAGGTGCTAACACCAAAATGCAAATATATCGATTACTAGGGAATAAAGGCAGATATGTTCACCAAGGCATGCTTTGATGAACTGGGGGAAAGGCTTGCTAGATAGAAAAGGATCAGAGGTCTTTACAAAACAGAAATTCGCTTGGGATTCTTTGGGATCAAGGTGATGCACAGGAAATCTTCAGCCTCTTTCACTGCATTTTTCTCCTCGTTTTCGGCCTGCATGTTTATTCAAATGGCATGTGAGTATCAGGAATCTTGTCCCAGACTTGTCCGTGAATTTCCTGGCATAATACTGCCATTACAGAAACAATTAGAAAACCAGTAGAGGAGAAATCCTGTGCTACCCAGAAACTGGAGCAGATATAAGAGCAGCAAGGAATGCTTCACAAAACTAGTTATTAAGTTTACCCAATGAATCACAAGGATTTGTAGCCTACCTGTGCCACAGAGCATCGTGGTGACTGTCACTGAGAAAAGGAATAGTAGTTTCATATTGATGAAAAGCTCTCAGTGCCACACAGCCCAGAGAGAAAATATCCCAAGTGAGAAAAGCTGAGGTGAACCCTCTGCAGTGCACGGAGCTCTGGAGCAGGCAGGCCACCAGGGATTTTAAACACCTTCTCTTTAAAGGTTATAAGCATTTGCAAGCTCGAATTGCCTGCAGTGAGAGCAGGGGCTGCTCAGTATGGCTGGAAAATGAGGGCAGTGATATGTTTAAATGTGGATTTAGATGTGTAACTTTATTTATGGGCTCATTTTGACACTCTCACCACGTTTCTAGATAGATTTGTTGTCTTTATGTGATCCTGCCAACATCAGCCCAGGACATATTTGTTATTATTTTTTACTAATTACTGTACAACCTGCTCAGTCTTTCTCCTTACGTTTTGGCTGAGAGAGAGTTTCAAGGAGAGAATCTCAAAGGTAAATTGAAATCAGATAAGAAAAGAGATGTTTACAAATATCTGCCTGAGATTTCAAGGCAGGGTACGTGCACCGAATTAGAGTTCGTGGATGCATAGATATTATTTTCAGGGAAAGTGAAATGCTTTCCCCCTGCCAAGAGCTGTGTTTGGACCCTCGGGGGTCTGTGTCGCTCCTGCTATAGTTGATAATGTCACTGACACCTAAAGCAGTGTGGGGAATGCAGCTTTAACCTTGCTTTTTATGTATTGGAGATTTCAACAGCCATGAAAAATTTCGAGCTCAGTAATCTCGAACTGCATTCCTAGAAGGTAAAAGCCTTTTGAATTCACCTTTAAAATGCACTTGCTTTTATTGGCACAGGCTGTCCATATATTCGGGGAATGGTTTGGGATTGCAAACAGGTAGGGTCTTTAGGGATGTGTTTCCTTCTTTTTGAAGTATTTCATTTCACCCTTAATGGGACGTGCTGTCTGCACAGAGCCACATCAAGCGGCAGCAGCACTTTTCTGCTGTCCCTTGCTGTCAACAAGAAATCTGTGCTTAGAAGAGGAGGGACACATCAGCCTTTGAAAGTTGAACAGAGGGACAGACTCAAAGGGCACAAAACCAAACAATTTGCATCTCGTGGAGGCTCTGGGGTAGCGAAGAAAAATGTCTTTTTCCACACTGTATTTTCTTTTCTTCCTCCCATCAAATTTTCCGCCGCCTTGCCAGCAAAAGCACAGCTCCAGCAGCAAACGTGTCAGTGCAGAGTTATCCCTGGCAGTTTTTAACCACTGTGTTTCTCAGATGTGCTTCAGGAAGGGTTTGAGAAAGAGCATTGTTTTTCTGGCAGTGGGTTGCACACGCCGTCTCTTCTGATGGTCACATCTCAGAAGCAGTGTTTGTTCCAGGCTGGCACATGGCATCCAAACAAAAATGCTCTTGTAGGTGCTGCTTCAGACTTGGGTGTTGAGAGCACTTTGAAGCTGTCAGCTCAGGACAGACAGTGGTGTCAGTCCTTAGAAAGAAAATACACTGCTAAAGTGATCCATTTTCTTCTGTGACTGTACATATTCCTGTTTCCCTGAGCGTGTCATCTTACAAATCTCCCAGATGTGTCTCAGGCTTGTGCTCTGTGATCAGTTCGGCCTCATGCTATGGTTTGTGCTGTGAAAGTCTCAAAATATTGAGGTTTTTGGTCCTTAGCAGCACTCAGTTGCACTGAGGGCATCCATCCAGCCAGCTGCTGCTGCCTGTGCTCCTCCACCGAGCACTGAAGGCAGGGCAGCAATTAGATAAGTGCACCCCTGGGAACAAGCTGCGCTTTACTGATGGTCACTGTCATCTCATGCATTCACCATCCACCAAAGAGGAAACAAAAAAAAATATAGTAAACAAATAGTTTTAATGGAGCCCTGGGATAAAGGCTATTTTCAATTTTACCTTCCACGTTTTAATTGTATAGCGATAATTTTGCAATGGAGTTGCCGATGGCAAACATGCAAAAGACATTAACTTTATTTATGTTTTGGATTATTAATGTGGCTGTTAAAATTCCTCCAGTTAGTTTTGATTGAATTGTTTTTTTGTGCGATTCTGTCGTTTAATGGAGCGGTAAATAAGAATTTCTGATAATGAGCCCAAGCATCTGTCACAACAACCTGGCGCTGGTTATTAACATTTCCATTAACGGCAGGGTGGGCAGTGATAATATGGAAACCACACAGTTAGAACAAAATAAATAGTTGGTGTCAGGCTGAGTGGGTGTTAATTACTTTTTTATTTTATAACTCTGGGGGGAGGGAGTATTGGTGGAAAAGTGTGACTTATGAAGGTCATTCTCTCTTAAGAAAGAAGTCTCCAGAGGGACAGCTAACCGGGGCTATCCAGCTCGAGTGGTGAATATTTTATCACTTCTATTTATGGCCCATAAAGAGGAAGAGAGAAAAGAGACAACTCTCTTAGGTGGGCAGGGTGAGGGCTACGGCACCGTGAACATGGAGAAAGGAGGAGTGTACCCTTTGCCCTGCCTTTCTCTCCCTACTTCTGGACTTTGAACAGGACACGCTTCGGCACCTTTTCTGTGAGCAGAACACGAGCTGTTTTGTTAAAACCTGCCGGAGGCAGAGACAGCAGGTCAGGAAAACAGAGCGTCCTCTCTAGCCACTGGGGAGGAAAATCCACCTGCACCAAGTTGGAGCCTGACAAAGGGAAGGATGGAGTGACCCAGGTGCACTCAAAGATTAGTTTTCTAGCACAGCACAATGGAAAGAATGCCATCAGCAGCCAAAGAGAGCCAGCATGTGCATGTGAAGGTGTAATCAAAGCAGAACTAACAAGCAGCAAACTAAAAGTCATTCTGTCATACATAAAATATTAGTGAGTTGATTAGTGTCTGACTGGGTTTGGAGGTAATATTAGGCAGTATTTTGGCCCTAAGTCCTGGAGCCTTGGGACCAAGCTGTTGTAAGAGCTGCTGCTGAGCGGGAGCCCGGGGTGATGGTGGCAGGGAATCCTTGCTCACGGTGACTTGCAGGAGCAGCCGATCAGGAGCATCGACCACTGACAAAGGCGAGCCCCAAACAGTACCAGAGAACCAAGACAAAATTCTCCTTTCTTTTCCAAAGCTGCTGGCAGGACTGAATTGATTCAGTGTCTAACTCAGCCTGCATGGAACAGAACACAACCACATACCGAGGCTCAGCTGCTCCTCACTCCACGTGTGCTGAGACATGCCGGTGATTCAGATACCCTGGGGCTGGCTCCCTGTGCTGACTTGTGGCATAAACAGAGTCTGTCCTGGGTCCTTCTGCAAATGGAAAACTGCAGCCTGGATATGAACTAGTTCTGCTTGTCACTATTAATTCTTCTGCCCTCCTTTGTCTCTAGCACCGGCGCTGGCCCCACAGAACATCCAAGTAAACTCCCTTTCTGCAAGCCAACTGGAGCTCACCTGGGACCCCCCTCCTGCCGACAGCCAAAATGGGAACATCCAAGGCTACAAGGCAATCCTCCTGTTTCTACTGTTTTCATTTATCTTGCTTGGCATTGCTATTTACTTGTGAGATAGCTCTACAAACTGCAGTTGCCCTCGCCACATAAGGCAAATTAAAACAGCGTTCAGACTGCAGTACAGAAACAGCACTAAGTCCCTAAACCAAAAGAAATAGAATGAGATTGGGAGGGGGAGAGGAGAGAAAAGGGAAAGTGTGTTGTTATTTATGGACAAATAGAGCATGGGGAAACAGGGCATGCAGATAAGGAGGTAGCTCCACTTATGCAGCAACATATCTGCTCCAAAAAGCAACACAGACACATAAGAGCTGGGGGCAAGAAATGTATTGAAGAAAATTAACTGAGCTTTCTAGCTATCAAATGGTACAAGCCTTTAGGAAGAGCAGAACTTTCTCCCAGCTAGAAGCCTGAGCCAGATCAGATTTTGGAAGAATTACTTCATTTCCTTAACTCTAACAAAATTAAGTCTGAGTATTAATTGCATTTGGTTCATAGGAGATGAGCACGTTGCAGAGGCACGTTGCTCAGCATCTCCAGCATGAGAATGGACCCTCAGAGAGTAGAAATGGGCAAGTCTACAAACACTGGAGCTTGGCTTGGGTTCAGTGTCTGGCTCTGCCTCTCTCCATGAATTTAGATCCATAAGTGAAGGAAAGCCAAGCCAATGTGAATAATCTGGCATCCCTTCTTGGCAGTAACAAGCATCCTTATATATCAATTCCTGTCCTTTCCCTTTTGTACATATATAGATGGCTTTAGCAGCTTGGCTTGGAGAGCCAAGGTGGAGTCTTGCCTTGGCTTGTTCTCTTGACTCTCTGGCTTGCTTTGGCCTGTTGTAAGGCTCTCGCTGCCAGGCCTGTCCAATAAGTAGGGCTGGCACCACTTTTCCTCTTGGAAACAACTTCTCCAAAGCCTAATTTTACAGCACCGGGATAAAAATTATGTAATGGAAGCATGGGGGAAAGCACCTCAAGGAGCTTTGGGGAAAAACTTTAATACCCTCTTCAGGGAGGCATTTGCCTGGCTGTCCTGTGAACACCAGGGATGTAACCACTGTGTGTGTACAGAGGTGAGTTGTGGGCCATCGTATCAGGATGCCAGTGCTGACAGGCAGCTTGCATTGCAGGGAGAATTTAAAACTGACCTCTCCTCGCTGAACTCTGGCAGCTCATATCTGCTGTCACTAGGCCATATTCTTCAGCCTGTGCTCTATTTTTGAGTGATGTACTCAGCTGCATGGTCTCTGGACTCAGGGGAATTTGCCAAAGGGAAAGGTTTGGCACATGCTGAAAAACCTTAGTATCCCATTTAACAAAGGAGTCCAGAGCAAGGCTTGGACCTTGCTCTGGAGAAAAGACCACCTTCCTGGTCTTTTATAGCTGCAATGCCCAGATATTTTCTAGGTGTAGGATATACTAGAACATTTGATAGGATGAGAAGAAACGGCCTCAAGCTGTGCCAGGGGAAGTTTAGATTAGATAATTAGGAAAAATTTCTTCAATGAAAGAATAGTCAGACATTGGAACAGGCTGCCCTGGGAGGTGGTGGAATTGCCATCCCTGGAAGTGTTCAAAGTGCTGATGTGGCACTTGGGGCTATGGTTTAGTGGTGAACACCGTGGGGCTGGGTTCATGGTTTGGCTCATGATCTTAGGGGACTTTTCCAACCTTAGTGATTCTCTCTTACTGTCCCAACAGATTTATTACTGGGAGAGCGACACCCAGAATGACACGGAGAAAGTGAAGGTCCTTTTCCTCCCAGAGACGACGGTCCGGCTGAAGAACCTGACGAGCCACACGCGGTACATGGTCTGCATCTCCGCCTTCAACGCCGCCGGGGACGGCCCCCGGAGCAGCCCCTCGCAGGGCAGGACGCACCAGGCGGGTACGGCAGCGCTGCTCTGTCCCACAGCTCAGACCTGGGGATGACCAGCATGGACCTGGGCAGTGGCCGAGGGAAATGGGGGGACGCAGGAGGGCACCAGTGTTTGGGTTTATGCTGTAATGGTCTTGAAGGGGGGAAAAAAAGCATCCAATAAGTGGAGCATGTGGAAAGGGAGGGATAGAGCAGAAGTGAGAATGGAGTGGCAGAAGGACCAGTCCGTTCACAAGCTGGCCTAAAAGGAACCAGTCGGTGGGACTGTTTCTGGTTTCTGCTGTCATACCTGGAAATGCCAAGGAACTCATCTCCAGTGCCTGGAAGTTGCCCAGGCATTCCTGTGAGACAATTAGCATGCCTTTTAGAATTCCTTCTTGTTGTTTTTAAAACTCGATCAGCAGCTGCCCAATCAGGCTGAGCAGTGCCTGTGCTGGACATTCTGTGTGGGAGTGCTCTGGTGCAGGGTGAAGGCAATGCCCTTGGTGGTGGCTGTGAAGAGGAGCTGTGTACTCTGGCTCTGTGCTCTCATAGCACCCTTCTGAGGGTCCTTCCCTTCTGTGTCCTATCTCCTTGTTTGCTTTCAGTTTTGCAGCTGAGTGCCTGTATTTTTAGGACAGACTGGGTTTCTGACTGATTACGGGACATTTGGAGACAATTGACAAATCCCGTTCTCAGCTCGTTTCCTTTAGATTTAGGCTGGGCAAACAAACCAATGTTTTATAATATATATGTATATCAGCTTGATGACTACTCCTGCAATTCAATCTGTGTGTAATCCTTTCAGCACCCAGTGCTCCCAGCTTCTTGGCGTTCTCTGAAATCACTTGCACTACACTCAATGTGTCTTGGGGCGAGCCGACAGCAGCAAATGGAGTCCTGCAGGGTTATCGAGTAGTCTATGAGCCTCTGGCTCCCGTCCAGGGTAAGAAAGACCTCTGATCATACATATTCATGGGGAACTGACAGAACAGTACTGTAGTATCTTTCATCTCTGCCCAATTTCTCACTTGCTCTCTGCCGTTTTCCTAGAGAAGCCAGGTGGCAAAGGGTAAGTAAAACAATTCCACTTTTGCCAGAACCGTTCAGCGAGCCATAATATTGTGGAATACGGCTTTTGTCTGTCCCCTCTCATTTTCTTGCACAAACTATAGTCTGTGTGATTTGAAAAGTCATTTTATGGCCGTCATTACCTGGTCTGGGCGAAGAGGAAGCTCAGCCTGAGAGTCCCTGATTGTCTCCCCGCACTTTGAAACTGCTGAGTAGGCTCCATCCCAGAATAGTCGTCAGACACATTTGTATTGCTTATCACATCGTGTGTCACTTCTGTTATCGCTGAGATTGCCTGGGCATCAAGTGTGCTCGTCGGCACCGCTGCTGACTGACAGGGGAGGGTGGCTGCTGTGGGGACGTCGTTGTGTCTTTACAAAGAGTTTCTGAGCAGCGTTTTTATCCCAGTGCTGGATTTAAGTTAGACCACCACAGTGTGCTGGCCACAAACGTTTCGTTAATTTGCCAGAGCAGCAACAGAGAAGGATTTGACAATACCCCTGAAAGGAAATGTAAATTCACTCCAGAGGTGAATTAGAAAAGATGACAAAGTTTGTGGATGGTCCTTTAATATTTTTATTTTCTTGGTAGATTGCCAATCGTTCAATAGGATGTCCAGCTTTGGCGAGGTGACAGCAGGGAGAGTAATTTCAGCCATTGTCAATCCATTTTAAACTCTTTTCCAAAGAAATAAGGATATCAATCACTTGTATTTGCTTCTTCTGTAAGGAATTATGATCTGTACTGTCTGAATATCCATGTCTCATGCACAGAGAAAGTTTTATTGAGGATTGAAAACACAAGAATAAAAGCACTGTCAGCCTTTACGGTTGGCAGGTCTGAGCACAAAGAGCTAATGCAGAAAGCATTTCTAATTCTGACCAAGAAATGTGCACAGGGTATGCAGGAGGTTGGGGCTGTTTGGGCATTTCCTGCCTTTTGTTCATTCCTACACAATGTTTAAGAATACATTTTTCCCCCTGAAAATATGGAAGTGTCAGATCATGTTTTGTCTTCATGCATTTGACTTAACATCCTCAGAATCTTTGTTTTCTTTTCTTCCCTTTCCCACTTTGCTTGTGCTGCCTCTGACTCCAGCTTGTCTCTCCTTCCCCTGATGTGAGCAGGGAGGTTATGGAGGGCTCTTCCTCAGATTCGAAATTTTTGCCTAAATTTATTTTCCAGTCTCTACCCATTTGCTCTTGTGACAACATTCTTCTTTCAGCAAATATATTTATTCTCCTGTCATGGTAAGGAATCTCTCCCTTGATGCCATCATTTTCCTCTGATAGAAAAGCCATGCTCCTTTATTTAGAGAGCAAGGTAGAGCCAAATTTGAAGATGGAGCAGGTGACGGTGCCAAATACAGCACAAGGCTTATGGGGCCAGCACTGATGTATCCTGTGATCCCAGAGGATCATTCCAGCCCCAGGTCTCACGTTCCTCCATGCCAGCACTACAGTGCAACAATAAGGATGGACCAGACCCTCTGGAACCTTTTCCTGCATCTTTTGACTTTCCACCCCATTCATGATTTTTGGCTGAGCATCCTTGTCATGGTGACCCCTCCTGCCATCCCACTCCCCCTCCCAACATTTACCTGCCCATTTTTCCAGGCTTTCCAACAGCAACCTGTTCTTTAGCACAGTTTTCTCCCTGTTTGACCTTTTATTGTTTAAGCTTTACACTGTTATGTTTTACACAATAATAGACAACAGAATTGCCCTGGAGCCTTTTTTAACAGTTCTTTTTTTTTTTGAACATAACTTCAAACTGACAAATGCCTCCTGATTTGTCTCAGAGAAATGAAATAGTTCACCTACAGAAGGAGCGAGCACTTTTACTGCTTTCTCGTTAGCCAAGGAAAGATTCCCTGAGTTATAAATTGTATCTGGGAGAAAACTTGGAGCAGAAATCGCTTAGACATTATTCTTTAATTAACTGGTAAAAACTGAAAGCATCATCTTGATTTGCATAAAATAAGCATCTGGATTGAAAAACATCTTCCTTCTGCATTTTTCTGGAAAGATAAACTAGCAAGCAGCCATTTCTAGCATGAAAAACCTTCTCCCCCTTCCTGTCTTCTTGGTTTGAAATTAGTTATGTACATCTACAGAACCAGAAAAATGCCAAAAGTACTCTCTAAATTTGAACCTTCTGTTCTGTAAAATACTTTATAAATCAACTTCTTTCCACTGACTTACTTGTAGGAAATTTCAGTGAAAACTAGATTTTTTTTTCCTTTCAAAGCACTCATTGTCCCTCTGCCCTTTATGCAGCATTGAGAACTTAAAGGTGAAACTACTGTACACCTTGATGAAGGAAACACCTCTGATTTTAGTTCATCCCTGTAAGAAAAATTATGAGAGAGCGAGAAGAGTGAAACACAAGTCACAACTCCAGCCTTTTTAAGCTCACAGTGCTTTGATTACATCTCCTATTGTCGTGGCATTTGTAGCCCCCAGGTCCCTGTAAGGTGCACACATCTCTTATTCTGCATCCACGTGGTGATGGTGGACATGGTAGGATGGCCCTTGTTTCCTCCTCCAGGCAGTGTTACAGCTTATTTGGTGAAGCACCAATGGAGAAATGCTTGCTTAGGAAGCAGCCTGCAACGTGCACTCCTCTTCGTTTACCTCCCTCTTTCTTCCCAGAGTAATTAGTGAAGTTACATGTAGTCTCTTGGTAATTTCCCAGTTGTGTTGTAAGGTTTTTTCCTTGTCAGTACCCACTTATCAAGCTTAAACTCTAATTATACTTATCAGTGCTGAAAATTGGCTATTATCACTACTTAAACTCCTGCTAATTGTAAGAAATACTTTCTTAGCAAACTGTTAGATAATTTTACTTACCATCTAGATGTAATAAGCTCCACTTGATTTCTATTTTGGCATTGCAGCCTTCTCTTATTTTTTTATCTGCGTGGCTGTTCCAGGGGTGAGCAAGGTGGTGACTGTGGACATTAAAGGGAACTGGCAGCGCTGGTTGAAGGTCCGTGATCTCACCAAGGGCATGACCTATTTATTCCGAGTGCAAGCCCGAACCATTGCCTATGGACCTGAACTGCAAGCCAACATCACAGCTGGGCCAGCAGAAGGTAAGTGGAACCATAAAAGCAAGTCACAGGCCAGATCAGTTATACAAACGTAGGGGAACAGTGCACTCAGGGCTTCACAGGAATTTCCAAGTCAAAGAGAAGCTGAGTCACAAGAGCTCAGGATGTGATTTGGTGGGTTTCACAACTGCCCATGAAAAACATGTTTCATTTCTCCTGAAATCCGTAAGTCTGATGTGAATAAACAAAACAGTGTAAATAAATCATAATGCAGACGGGGCTAGCCAGGGATTTCAGAGCTGCAGCCTGACAGCGCTGTGCATAATTCTGACTGTACTGCTCTGCGGTGGGACTCAGAACTGGAATAACTGCCGGAACCAGCAGAGGTTCCTGGGTGTAAAACCAGAAAGAATTTACAATTATTCTCTCCTGACACGTTGGCTTATTCAGAGGGAGAGATCTGTGGATTTTTTGATGTGTCAAGAGCAGCTACAGGCTGTGCAGCAGCGCTGCCCGCTTGGGTCAGTGTTTGTACCCGAAGAGCTGGTTTTCTTATTTGATCAGTGATTTTGATAAACACATAATCTAACAAGGTAAATGCCCTCCAATGATTCCAGCCTGTCAGGTGAGTCACAGAACATCAGTGCAGTGGTCACAGTTCCTATTTTTGGTTGTTTTCCACATCCACAGTCTAACTCGCACACCACACCACAGAGAGTACAAAGCAAGAGCATCTTCTGTGACCGTGGCATCTTCCCAAGCCAGTGGGCAGTGGCTGTCCCCACAACCCTCTCCCTGAAACTCAGGAGGCTGGTTTCACCTCTGAAGTCAGAAATAGCAGTGGCAATGTGCGAACTTTGTAATGCTAATGGGTAAAATGAGAGGGCTTTTTCCTCTTGCCTTCTTCACACAGGTACCTTGTTCTTGGGACTGTCTGTGTAGGGCCAGGAGTTGGACTTTGATGATCCTAGTGGGTCCCTTCCAGCTCAGGATGTTCCAGGATACTGTGATTCCATGACCTGTAAACCCCAGCCATTGATATGTAACTGCTGGTACTAGAACTAGTGAAAAAATTAGGACAGTAGTATATTGAGCTGGTTTATGTTGCATATTTTTCCCCTAAATCAGTAGAAGAAATTCATACTACAGTCTGTCTCCAATGCCACCCCCATTTGCTGTTCTCTTTTCATCCTTCAGGGTCTCCTGGCTCCCCTCAGGAAATTCTGGTGACAAAATCTGCTTCTGGGCTCACGCTACGGTGGACTGAGGGAGATTCAGGAGAAAAACCCACAACTGGCTACATTATAGAGGCACGACCCTCAGGTAAGCCATGGGAAAAACAGAGAGCTTGATGTCATGAGTTCCCTTCCTTCAGTCCATGCTGGAAGCCATCCACAGTGGAGAGGTTGTTTGTCATCCCAGTAAGGTAATGGGATTTTGTGAGAAAACGTGTTTCCAGACACTATTAAGCTGTTACTGGTTTATTATGTGGTTTAGCATATTTTCTCCTCTTTAGGAGCAGTCACAGAAAATTACCCCGACTGCTCTGGCTTTCACTGTGCTACATCACTGGAAAATCATCCAACAGATGAACTAATATAGTTAATAATTAAAAGTAATTTAAATGCTTACAGCATCTTTCATGCACAAGGACTAATAAGTATTTGCAAGCTGTATTTCGAGGACCACAGATAGAAATCTGTCCTCTTCTGCAGCAGAGCACAGCAGCTAATTACTGTTTTACTGTTAATAATGGGGCCAGGACTTCAGCACCATAAACACATTGCTTTCCCCGTTTGTTCTGCAGGGAGGGCATTGAGTGGGGGGGAAGGAATCCCCTATCACCACTGCTTTTCTTGGTGCTTTCCCAGAGCACCTTTGCTTGTGGGATTTGCATCTTATTGAAGCTGTTCTCTCCTTTTTGAGGAATATTTCCCCACTTGGACAAGGTAATTTTAAAAGTCAGCGTGTGCTCCAGCCTGTTCGCAGCCTCTCCCAGCTTGGTACCCCTCGCAAATTCAATAAGCACACACTTTCTGGTAACTGAGTCATTAAGGAAAGCCAGTGAGTGCTGCCAGACCCCTGTGTAATCTCACTTGATAACTTCCCTGCACTCTGACAGTGAATGTTGATAACCCTTCTCCGGGTACAGTTTTCCAGCTGGTGATGCATCTACCAGATACTTGTTTCACGTGGGCCGTGTTTGAATGTCACCAAGTCAAAAGCTTTGCTGAAGTCAGGATAGATGATGTCTGCTCTTTCTCCTCTATTGACAAGGTCTGCTACTCTGTCACAGAAGGAAATTAGACATGATTTATACTTGACATATCCATGTTGGCTACTTGTTCTTTCTTTTTTTTACTTCCAGGTGCTTGCACACTGCTTGATTATGTATTGATTAAAGGAATGCTTATCTGTTTGATTGTATAAAGGACCCTGTTTCTTATTTGTGTCTTGAATGTAAGGTTGCATTTAAAAACACTGATTCTAATTTCATTTAACCAGACCAGTAACAAAATTATTGCCTGCATTTCTGAGGTCATCCCTGAAGATGCAGATTTTCATACCTGTATCTGATAGGATTTACTCTGTAGTGAGGCTCTGCTCTGACCCTAAAATTTCTTTCTTATTTCTGTCATTTAACTTGACAATTGTTTTCAAAACAAAATCAAGGGAAATGTGTACCTTCTCCCTGGAATTTCCCAGAGTGATCAATTTTTTTTTCAATTAGAGGCATGACACTGCTGTGCTTCTATTTCACTTACATCAGCTTTTTGATTTCTGTCCTTATTTCTTCATAGGTAGAAAATACTTTCTTATTTGAACAGCACTGTTTAGGTAACAATTTAATCCAAACCTGTTCATTGAACTTCACTTACCAGCTTACATTTTCCTCAAACAGATTTTTGTGAGTAAGAGTATTTTAGGGGGGAAACCTGCAGCCCACGTGCAGATTGTCTGCAAGCTTGGAAATTCAAGTCGTGTGAGTGGTGACATTGCAAACTCATCTGTTTGTCTCACCGTTGGATGTGAACAAACATTTCACAGTTCATGGCTAAGGATGTAGGATTTGTGGCCCACTCTTTTTGAGTAGGAAGAAAATAGTCCCTCCAAGGCAGGTCTGAGCTGCATTAACCCTGGGTCACTTCTGCTGGCCCCACTCCACTGATCCTGGAAACACACAGAAGAGGTCTTATTCTCCTGCTCTTGCAACCTGACTGTTGAGGCATTTAATTCCTCTTCAGATTATTTTAATCCTATTCATGCTGCTGTAGCAAATGAACTCGGCATTTGTATGCTGGATTCTCATCCTTCGTTCTGGTGCAGCTGTAGGAAGCGTGAAATGTGATCCAGGAGAGGAGACAGACTAATTGGAAGATTTGCTTATTCCACCCAAGCGTCGGCTTCCTCTCTGTGCTGCTTTTCTTCCTCATCTCTGTGCGGAAGACTTTGAAATCTGAATTATGGGCTTAACAAAAGCAGGGAACTAATTCCTCCTGTCAGGGCTGGTCACTTGGAGCAGCTCCTGTTTCAATATCGTTCTAATAATTTGCTTTTGCATGTTGATTTATAGGGGTAATAGAGCATGGATTGGAGCAACCTTTGTTTTTAAGGAGTTGTTGTCCAAAAGAAGAGCAGTTGACTTGTGCCCTTCACATAAAATCAAGGGAGGAAAAGACATTCATCCTTCTGAGGTCAAAAAAAGGGCATTGAGCCGACAGATGAAAAGCCTTAGCTTGTTGCCAATATTTAAATGCTATACCACTACCTTAGTGTTTCACATCTCAAGTGTCATCTATTATAGGCCTCATTACCCCAAACGTTAAATGCTGTATCATCTCGTTTTCCCTGCTGTAGTTCCCTGCCAAGACTCTTCCATCAGAGTAGGAGGGTGGCTTTCTGTCAGAAATGGCAAACCCTCCTTCCCTTTTGTCACTTCCCTTCAAGTTTTTCGGAGTCCTGCTGTGTCTCCCAGGGCTCTGCTGCCCTGCTGGGTTTAGCAATGGTGGCAGCAGGCAGCTGAGGCTGTTCATTTGATTTCCCTGTTTCTCTGCTGGGTTTATAGAAGGTGACCAGGCTCACTACTTCCTCTGCATTTTGAGTATACTCAGACACAGGGACGAAGCAGGCGAACCAATATTTTTTCTAGAGTGATCTGTGCTAGAGGAAGACATTACAGAAACAGAAGAGTTTTTCTTTTCCTTCAACTTCTCTGCCCCTGGAGAAATGGATTCCAGTTTAGCTCCCTGTGCATTACAAGAAATGCAATTAAGCAGGCTCTGTCTCTGCCATCTTAAGCGCTCCCTAGACATCAGCTAGGCTGGCTGAGGAATGGGTAATAGATCATGTCCTCAGCTCTTACGCAGAGAAAAGACAGAAATGGCACAAAGATGTTAAAGTTCCTGGAAAGAACGCAGAAGCTGGTTTCACCCCTCTTTTCCCAACCCTGGTCCATATCCAAAGCTCCTCTCTCTATACTGGGCTTTAGTGGTGGGCACATGGTCTGTAGAGTGCCAGCAGTCTCACGCAGACTTGCTTTCCCAATTATCCCCTGCCTGCAAAGGATGGGTTTCTGTGTTATACCCTGGGGATCCACAGTGCCAGGAGTGCACCTAGATACGTGCCTGTCCCCATGGGACCTTCATCCATGTATTGGCCTGCTGCAGTCATCTTCATCTGCAGGGCAGCTGTGGAGGTGTTCGGTCGATTTGCTTCATAGAATAATTTGGATTGTAAAAGACCTTTAGGATCATCAAGTCCAACTGTAAACTTAACCCTGCCAAGTCCACCACTAAACCATGTCCCTAAGTGCCACATCTTCATGGCTCGTGTCTGGGCAACCTGTGCCAGTGCCTCACCACCCTCACCATTCGCCAGTGCCAAGAATTTCTTCCTAACATCTAATCCAAACCTGCCCTCTGTCAGTACGAAGCCATTCTCCCTTGTCCTGTCACTCCATGCCCTTGTAAAAAGTCCCTCTCCAGCTTCCAAGATGATCAGTTCCATGAAGGCAGCAGACATCTTGGAGAAGAACCCATCTACTTGGAGTGGGGATTGTCCGTCTCAAAAATACTGGGTTTTGCTTCCCACGCCCTGAGGGCAGATCTCACTTCAGTTTTCCTTTCTGGTGTCTTGAGTAGTGTTTTTCTGTTTTCCTCCTTATCTATTTATTTTTAACCAAATGGGGGAGCGCAGTGTCAAACATGGACACAAACCAGCACAAGTCAGTAAATTCAAAGTGAAGGGTGCAGCTGCATCGCCGGCATCTGCCACGGGGCCTTTTTCGCTTCTGCTGGCGAGCGACATGTCAGGGCTGACAGTTTGTCAGCCTTCACTTCCCATTCTCGTCCTTCCACTGGTTTGCATGATAATCCAGCCCTTTGCCTCTGACAAACACAGCCAGGTTTTAATTGTGTCCTCTGTAGGAGGAACACCACCGGCGTTCAGCCGGGCCTTAACTCTCCGCAGCTTCTCCCCTCATAAACCTCCTAATGTGTAATTAGGAGGGAGCTTTATGGCCGGGCTCTCCTCACAGGCCGAGGAGAGGGGAAGGCGGGTGTTTAAGACCCAAATAACTGACAGCTCTCCATCTCCTCCGCCGCAGCTCGGCCGTGGGTTGTTAGTGGCTTGAGTTAGCAGAGCCAGGAGCCCTCACCGCTGACTGACAGTTTTATTTAGCATGGAGACCCTGATTAATGGCCTGTGCGGCCGGGCTGGCCCGCGGGGGCCGTGCATGGCTGCGGTCGGCAGCGCCGCTCCCACACGGAATGGTCGGCACCCGGCCAGGAGGGCTGGACCTTCTCTTAGGTCAGAGGTGGTTTCACCTTCCCCTGTCATTCAGATCTTCTACCCATGCCTGTACCTCAGGAGCAGGTGGGACGGAGGTATCAAGGCTGGGGGGTGAAGATCAGACCGGCCCTCAGCAGGAATAAGGACAGAGCTGGGGCTGGTGGAGCCTCGAGAGAAACAAGAAGCAAAATAAAATTTATCTTTTTTTGAGGAGCCCTCCCTTTTCCATCACACATTTAGGTTTTTTTAAAGAGGCCGAGTGCCCAGTGAAAGGCAATGGGAAAGGAAGACAGGGATTGATGTTACTGAAGGAAAAGCAAGGGCAGCCTCCCTTGGGCTGTTGCCTGGGACTGGCTGAGCCCTGCACGTCTTCACCTGAGTCTGGTGATGCAAACTTTGCTTTTTTCAGCAGTTTCTATGAGTTAATACCCAGCTGATGTCCCAGCCACAGCATGTGCATCTTTCCTCCCTAAACTGAGTGGAAAATGCTATGTGTGGTGCACTAATGATTTTCTCCTGAACTTAAAGACCAGTCTTTGCTATCACAGGTGACCTTCTAATGAATTCTCTTTCAGCTGAACTTCTAACATTTAGAGCACATCTAGTTTTGAGGGTTGGGGGGAGAGATGCAGTGAATGCATTCAGTGTGTTCAATATTTAATCTTAAAGTTCACCACTGGAATAAAGTGCTTTTTTAGTTCGGATATATCTGACTGTGATGCCCATGTACAAAGAAGGGTCTGAATGTTCCAGATGAAGATAAGATAAATTAATTGAGGCTCTGGAATTAAAAATATTGTTGACCAGGGCTTGGGAAGCCACAGACTATGCTGTGCATAACATTGGCTTGGGGTCAGCAATGTGGAAGATGTAGGACATCCCTTTTACCAGGCTGCCACCTTGCAGACTTCTGACCACTGTAGCTGCATCAGCACTTCTCTGGGATCCCAAGGATAACAAGCTCGGTCCCATTTAAAATCAAAGGGGGGTGGTCCAGAGAATACATGGCCACCAGCTGGAGCATCTCTGAGTCCCTGTGAGACAGAAATCCCTCTGAAGAAACATCACTGGGATTCTTTGCTACCCCACAGGATTACCACCATAGCCAAAGGGACAGAGATGTGGAAATGCAACACTGACTTCTCAAGGGTGGTTTTCCCAAGTTACTGCGAGCTTCACAGAGTGGTTAAGTGTACACGTCTTGGTCTGTTGGATTTTCTGCACTGTGCACCCTGATAGGTTTGAGAAAATGAGTGAGAAAGTGCATGTCTGAACAGTTGTGTTTGTTGTAATGAGTGCTGCACATTCATTTTTATTGTTGCTTTTCTTCTCCCATTTAAGTGGCTTTCAGTGCAAACAAATTGCTTTTCAGACAATTCACAATGGGCTCAAATTCTCTTATTGCTGTTTACAAATGTGTTTATGAAAGCTTAGGCAATTCTAGCAATTATAGCAATATTTTATAGTCGTGAGATGCATCTCCCTAGTATCGGTGGTTGCAACAATCCAACTTTGAAAATGCATCCCTCACTTCACCCTCTTCGGAGAAACTAAATCCCAAGCTCCCTTTTTATTACACTGTAACTTTACATGGTAGAAATAATCTCAGCTTCTATTGCCCTGTAAAAGGGAAGTCAATATTTTATCTCTTGTTTTATAGCCATTGTAATACCCAGCTAATACATAACAATGGTACATTATGATAACTTCATTATACTCTGATCATGCTGGTGAATAATGTATTGGTCTGAATTTTAAGCATGGCAGGAAAATTACCTATTTTTATTGTTCTTTGTTTCTTCTCAAATGCAGCTGGAACAATAACATTTCAGCCTGCTTCTTGCATCCACTGAGACTGCCAATCCTCATGACCAGAAAAGATGTAGTTTGGGGGTTGTTAGTCTTTGTGTGTCTCTAGACATGCAGCACGGTGCAAATTACTGAGCCAATACTTACTGATGCCAGAGTTAAAACATTCACATGGAAATGCACCTGCAGTGTTAATCAGTCCATCTTTGCTGCTATTCCCTATTGCACAGGAGTAGGCTAAGGGCCAAATTTTGCTCTGTTACACCAGCACAGTTCTGGCATCGCTGCGGTGATTCCAATTAGTTTACACTCAGGTGAAGGCAAAGCAAATGAGAACAGATTCCTGCCTTACACTGCAGCAGTGAAACAAGTTGCTGAGGATAGTGCTACTGGCTCCTGCTTTATTGTTACCTTGATAACACCTCAAGCTACAGAAGTCCTGCTGCTGCTCGAATCTCGCAGTGCAGAGGACTGTCTTTCAAAGCAGGCAGCTCCTGCGCTGGAGTCGTATCTATGCAGAGGTTATCATCCCATTCCCATAGCTGGGGGACATGCAGAGAAAAATAGACATTGCTGGAACAGCTTTGATAACTGAAAGTAAGAGCCCAATGGGATGCTGTGAGGTCAGGTCTGTAAGAGCTACGCTGGCTTTGGCCCCACACATAGACAGCGACTCCGTTTCCTCAGCGAAAGTGCTGGGCATGAGTTGTTACTGGAAAGCAGTTTGGTTAGATTAATGTTTGATTCCTGCCCTCAAAATTATTGAGTGACATTTTTAATTATAGTTGGGTTTGTTCTTACTGGTACCAGCATCCATCTTGTTGAAAGTTCGTTCCATTGTAGTCAAGTGAGTAGAAGGTTGCGGGAATGGATCAGGGATGGGAATGGTGCCTGGTCTGGATGTGCATCAGGATCAAAGTCATTAAGGCTGTTGAGAACGGAGATCAACCTAGTGAAACACTCCTATCAGAATGGCATTGTGCTTCTAACAACTTTGAGAGATTTATAATACAAAGAAAAACCTCATTCCTGTTTAAAAATGTACACCACAGAGTGCAGCTCCAGCAGGCTCACTCTGCGGGCTGTGGCATGAGGAGAACATAACACTGTTGATATCGTGGAGCAAGCAGCACTCCAGTGACACCAGTCCCTCAGGCACCAGTTTACAAAAACTTCCCAAAACTTCCCAAAACTTCCATTAGTGCAAGCCTCACCTCTGCGCTTCCATAGCGAAGCCATTTTCGCAGTGTAAAAAGTAGGCAAAACCTTTGTGATCAGGACTCGCTAATGCAGCAGTTGCTTTGGGTTTACCTGTGCTGTCAAATGCCAGGCGTGCTGATGAGTGGCCTTACCTCCTGATCAGGAGGGGCCCAGATGGTTGGGCAGCTGCTCTGGCCGGCTCAGGTCACTGTGGGTGCTGATGATGATTTTAGAGGGGACCTCTTCCATCTGGGCTATGATAAGACCCCATCACGAATAAATGCATTTACAGATGGGGCCTCGCAGGGCACTCTGACATTTGTGTGCATCACAGAGCAGCCTTCAGGTGAGTATGTCCACTGCCTGCAGTTCCAACACACAATTGATGACACCCTCTTCCAGCGAGCAGGAGGAAGTGCCAGGTCACGCAGCTCATGCCATTTCTCTCCTTGCTGCTTTCCTAGATGAAGGACTCTGGGATATGTTTGTGAAGGACATCCCTCGCAGTGCCACCTCCTACACAGTCGGCCTGGACAAACTCAGACAAGGTGTCACCTATGAATTTCGGGTGGTGGCTGTCAACGAATTTGGCTACGGAGAGCCAAGTGTTCCGTCCGTGGCAGTATCAGGTAATCATGGATTTTTTTGAAAAAGTATCTTTTTCAGTGGAATTTCTTGGGGTTGGGAGAGAAAAGGGGAAAAAAGAAACAACCCAGATCCTCTAGTTGCAACAGATAATCAAGGGCAGCGTGTTTTCACTTGTTTCAGGATAAAAGTGGAGTAATATGGTGGTGAGTCAAGGTTTGTCATTACAGTGTGCTTTACTCTCAAGAGGAAAAATGCATGTGTGCCATTTTTAAGGTTGACAAAGAAGCTACTCAGAGTGTTCATCTGTAAGATCTCTTGTCCTAAGACTAATTTACACAGTCTAGAATTTGTTTGCTTTCTCTCCATTGTCTGTTGTGTTGTTTGCTCTGCTTTCTCCTTTTTTTCCCCAAGATTCTGTGATAAACATTTTCTGTGTAATTTTCTCAAAAACATGAAGGAGCAGTTTCACAAAATTATTCCTGATAATCCTCTGTGCTGGCAGTTCCAGTCCAGTGTGATGCCTCCAGTCGTCCTTCATCAGAGCAGCTCGTTGGTGATGCTTTTGGGCTCTTCCCACCCTTCCCGCCCTCTTGTGTTTATTCCCAGCAAACAGGGCTATGGCCTAAACATGCTTCCAAAATCCCTGTGAGCAGCCCAGCATTCTGGTTTTCTGAAAGAACTTCAATACCTGGAAAGGCAAAATCCCCTCAGCTTGCCAGGGCTGGGCAGCTGGAGTTCAGCGGCCTGTGGTGAGGTGGGAGACCTTGCCCTGGGAATGGCTTTGCTGGGTCTCCTCTCACCCTCCCAGCTGTGCTCCAGGTTGCTTTTGAGCAGCAGGTTTCACCCTTGCTGTGTCAGCAAAGACAAGGGGAATAAAAGAACCTGATAAAGCGGCTTTGTGATTCAAAATTCTGGAGAGTCCTGAGAACCTGGCAATGCTCCAGTATCTGGAGTGGCTTTTATCTCTTTGCTGCTCCAGTGAAAAGCATAAACACCATTCAAGAGCTACCCAGCAGGCAGGAGTAGCAAATGCTGCTATTGCCATCGTGGCTGCATTTGTCCTGACACAATTAACCACTTAGCCCAGGAGAGCTTCCATGGATTTCAGTGTGAATGCTACCCCAGCTTTTCTTCTTCAGGACAAGGGCATGGACAACCCACTTCAAACACCACGAGTCAGTGTTTTTCCTATCTGTGGTTTTGCAGAGGCTGTAACACAATGTAAAGGATCAGCAATCATGTCAGTCTTTCCTTTCCTGGAAGACATTATTCCCTCTGAAGCTGGGCATGCATCTCCTTGTGATGCTTTCTATAAATAAACTGCTTGTTTGTAAGTTCTCCACTTGAACAGAACTATTTAATTCACCTCCTTTTGATGCTTCAGTGTTCCTCTCAAATTGCTGCATGAAAGTAAGAGGCTTCTGTTGAGATTCACAGTCATAAAAGTATAAAGCATTGTAGGCTGACCACTTCAGCTGGCATAGGGAGGTATAAATTGCCCTGAATCTGCTCAGCCCAGCATGGCTTGTGTAGTTTGCCTTTAGGATTTTATTGGCCTCCTAGCAAAGAAGAAAAAGGGGCTGCTTTTCCCTGCTGTAGAATACTCAGTGATCTGGAACAAATTTAAGCTCATATTGTCAGGCTTACAACAGACTTGTATGCAGATCCAGGCTCAGGACAGTCAGGGAAAGAGAGTGCCTGGGTTTGGTGCTATGAGGGGTTGACATTGGTCTCCTGGCATTGCCCATTCCTGCCAGGTGGTGTTCCACCTTCTGGACTACAGGGGAATGATATGCAACTGCTGGCTCATGCTCCAGCAGCTGCATTTTTTTCCCAAAGCTGAGGGAGCTCAAGAGAAGACAAAGAGAATGTCACTGCAAGAAAATAACAATACTTATTACTTTAAACCAAGATTGGCAAGATAACTCCAGAAAGGGGAAGTTAGTATCATTTTGTGTCTTAAATTGAGGTCAAATGGGGTGAAATGACCTGAGATTGCACAAAATCCAGGCAACTGAGTCGATACCCATGTGCTGCACATCAGGCTTGGCTGAGCGGATGGGAGGTGATATAGAGCAGCAGTGAATGCTGGAAGTTGGAGTTGATGGAGGTACTGAAAGACACTGAACCAAGTGTACTTTTTTCCCTGGCACTGGCTGTATTTTTCAGAGAGCTACTGAGCAGCATTTTGGCAAGGCAAGCCTCTTGCAAATTGGACTAATCATGGGTCATGACAGATGTATTAGTGGTTCCTAGGGAGTACTAAGCATAACACAGTAGTCAAGACATGTAGGTGTGCAGAGCTGTGGGGAGAAACCTGCCTCTCTTCTCTTGGTGATAACTTCTTAGCTAAGGGATCCTGGAGCTGTGCTCCAGGTGTGTGAAAGGTGCTTGTAGAGATGGAACAGGTTGCCCAGAGAAGCTGTGGCTGCCCCATCCCTGGAAATGTTCAAGGCCAGGTTGGACGGGGTTTGGAGCAACCTGGGATAGTGGAAGGTGTCCCTGCCCATGGCAGGGGGGTGGAACTGAATGATCTTTATGGTGCCTTCCAATCTAAAGCATTCTGTGATTCTGTGTTGGAGTTGTGATATGCTCCTGTTCTCTGCCATCTCAGAAGTGTCAGAAAGGCCCTCAAAAGTGCCCAGTAGACTGTGTGACATCCTTTGAACACCTCTCTCTCCTGAGCACCATTATCAATGCATTGTTCACTGTGGGGAGGAAGAGAAAATTTTGAAGGGGCATAAAGAGGAACCGTAATTTGTTTTTTGCTCTTTCAGCACAAACAGAAGCCCCTTTCTACGAGGAGTGGTGGTTTCTGCTGGTGATGGCTCTCTCAAGCCTGATCCTCATCCTCCTGGTGGTGTTTGCATTGGTCCTGCATGGCCAGAGCAAGAAGTACAAGAACTGCAATGGAGGTAAGGCATCATCTCCATGCTGTGCACACACTCTCAAGAGTTGTGAGAATCGGAAATATCTTCCCTTTGAACCCCTGATTTCATCAGCATGGACTGTCTCTATTTTGTTTGGCAGAAGACTCAGATCTTTTTGCTGTCTGGTTTGGTAGAAATGGCTTTTGCCCATAATCACCACTGGATACTCACCAGCCATGGGCTCAGACAGGACAGCATCTGGAAGTCCCAGGGACAGTAGCAGAAGCCAAGGAGTCTGGGTCAAACACATGGCAAAAGACCACAAATGAGGAATCAGCTGAGACTTTGTTTAGCTTTGTCATCATTCCCTAATAGATGGGGAGAAGGATAAAGATTCTGCTTTTCTATGGCTGCACCCAGTGCAGATATTCTAGATCTGTGTGTGTGAGGACTGTATCACAATTCCTGTATATTTAGATGCCCTGCATCTCATATTCCTTCCCTAAGCCAAGCTGCATTTCCTGGGCTGGGGGCCAAGAAGCCAGGAGGTGTCTTGGTTAGACCTGTTAGACTTTAACACAAAATGAGCATCAGGCTTTGAATTTTCCTTTAGTTATGATTTTTACAGGTCTCCTTTCTTGAAAGGAAACAGGAGCTACCTGCTCTATAACAGGAATGTTAAATAGTCCCCTTTCAAAAAGCCTAGTTCCTGAGCTCTGAAAATTGTTTTTACCTTTTCTTCTCCCTACATGATAAAGTCCTGGAAGGGTTGTTCACATGTGTATTTCTCTGATAGGCTCCTCCACCTGCAGCAAGAGTTGCTCTGGTGCCAGGAGGTGCCAGAAAAGGCACATTAATGAGTAGGATCAGGTGGATGGGTCTTTGCACTACCTGTTCTCAGGGATTAATGTAATGAAGTCTTCCAGGCAGTATTTAGTAATTCAGTCCCAAAGTGAAGATCTTCTCTTTCTTTGTAATTCACTTCTAACAAGTGTTAGAAAATCAGATTTCAGTCCCCTGAGATATGAGATGTATGAATACCGTGGCATTTTACCGAGTTAATACTATTACATATTTGTATGCATAGCTCATAGGAAATCTCTCATCTTCTTAGTTTTGCTCTGTGTTTGGGGGACAGACATGAAAAGACGGGTCTGACCTGTACTGTCAGAAATCCGTGTTCACAGAGTTTTAATGCAGCGCTGAAATTGGAGCCGAGGATAAAGCACCTGCCTGCTGAACAGTGCCAGATTGTACCCAGCCCTTCTCCCTGGGACACGGGCTGAGCTCACACCTTTGGGATTACTGAGAAGGAACATGGGAGGGAACAAGCTCCTGCTGTGTTTGATCACAAGAAATAATATACTTTGCTGTATTTTCCTTCTTCTTCCCATCCCCTGTCCTTGTTCCTGCCTTACATTGTCCACTGATTTCTCACATCTGTGTCTTATCCTCATTACAGCTTTGACATCTTTTTCACATTTGCTATCCACTTGCCCTTTTCTTGCTTTCTTTCCTGCCTTTTCTTTATCTCTTTTCCTTCTCCCTTTTTTCTGCCTTTTCTAGTTTTACTTTCTCTTGTTTTCAGTCAGCATGAATGGGATTCACAGCACCCGATCTAGGACATCTTCAGTGGCCACCCGAATTAGTCACCTGGTTTCTATTTATAGTCAAAAGACAAGAATAAGCACTTTTGGAGCACAGTTTATCTGTGCTATTTTACCTACCTCTGAATGAAATGCATCCATCCATTCACAAATCCTATTTATTCCCCTCTTTTGGCTCCCTCTGCCCCTTCTCACTCCTAATACACTCCTTTCCTTCACTCTGTTCTTAGTTGCCAGTAAGAAATGTAAAGAGAATTTCAAATAATTAAAACAGAAAGGAGGACAAGTTAGCTTCTGCAGTTCTATTTAGGGGAAAAGTGCCTTTGTTTCAGCTGAATCTTTCATTACCTGGCTCTAGGTAAAACCATCTCCAATGTAGAAGAATCAGTCACCCTGGATAACGGAGGCTTCACTGCTCTGGAGCTCAACAGCAGACACCTGAACATCAAGAGCACCTTCTCAAAGAAAAATGGAACCAGGTAAGAAGCTGGGAGTGCCATGCCTTTGGAAATGGCTTTTTATGTAGCTTCAAGCAACTGTTAAATAGGCAAAGGGGAGAGACTGTTGTCTGGAGAATCTAAGGACTAATGCCCAAGTCTCTGCCTCAGGCTGTGATTCTGGCTTCTAAGCATGATTTAATTGTGTCATTCCAGAGAAATGACAACATCCCATACACTCAGTGTTGCATTTCCTAGGTCTCCTCCTCGCCCAAGCCCAGGGGGGCTGCACTACTCTGATGAGGACATCTGCAACAAGTACAATGGAGCTGTGCTGACCGAGGGCTTGGGCCTCAATGAGAAGCCCTTGGAAGTGTCGGAGTCAGAGGTGAGGATTTCCCTTTGCCTCGCCAAGTATTGCCCAGTCACTGCAGATAATCATTTCCCTGCTGAATCCTGGCAAGTCTTTGAAGTCCCAGTCCCATACCTGCACCATACTGTGTGGTCACTGTTCGCCTGTCTTAGGGCCTTTAAAATGTCCACCGGGCTGTTTTCATCACAAAAAATTAAATTAAAATATCTAAGGAAAGAATAACAAGCAGGACCCAGCCAGGGCAGATTCCAAACCTGACTTAGCAGATATTCAGTTTTCCAGGGTCAGGTAGAAAGATAAGTGCAGTCAGTCAGACTGTGTATGCTGACCTCTCTGGAAGGGACTGAACATCCTCTTCTGCCTGTGGGCTGCAAACTTGGAGCACTTTTGGGAAAAGGCATAGACACTGCAAAATAACCAGCTACTGTCTGGATGAGGTTAAAGGTGAGATGAGTTTTGGATTGTTGGACTGAAGTAGGAGCTGTGGTTTGAAGTTCACAGTGCCTGTTTTATAGACAGCTACAGCAAACCCCATGATTCAGAAGAGCGGTCTGAGTGGTGATAGGGGGAATCAGTGGGGAATGACTAACTTGCCAGGGAGCACATGGCCCCATGGCTGTGAGAGGCCAGCATTCAGCTTTCTGGACACCCCAGCATTATGCTCAGGTTGCCTTTAGACTGTTCTCCAAGGAAGGTGGGTGCATGCCAGCATTATCCATCTGGCTGTGCTCCATCTTGTGTCCCATATTCCCTGGAAGAAGGAACAAAATTCTTGTTGTCTGTGAAAGTCCAACAGTGGCCAGAGGTGAATAGACAGACTTCAAAGGATATCCAGAAAGGTAAATCTGTCTCTAAAATCACACATTGTCAGCCGAGATCCTGATGAATCTGAACTGACAGCGCAAGAAGCGAGCAGTGGGCCAAACCACTCCAAATGTGACCCTTCTAGCAAGAATAAATCAAGAGCAGCAAGTAGTGAAAGAAGATGACAGTTTTCATCTGTAGTTTTTCTGCACCTGCAGCTACAGCTGCTTTTCCTGGCTACCTAGCTCTCACCTCCTGCTAATTACCACAGACAGCCTGCTGCTTTGTGCTGCCCTGTGGCCGACCCGTCGTGAAGGCAGCTCTCCTTGGTGCAGCTCAAGCTGCTGTCTCTGCAATGCACAAGCATTACCCTCCAGATTAAACCCATAGAGCTTTGGTCATGTCACTGTAACAGCCCAGCATTAAACCTGTCATTAAAACAGTTTGCTGAGCATGGTCGTGAATTTAGCACCGGCACCTTTTGACATTAATTTCAATGTCCCATGTGGTATTTCCTGGTAATGTGCAAAAGCCTCCTTGCAGGGTGTCATTATGCCTCCCGTGTGCACTGTTTGTACAGCAGAGAAGGAAGTGATATGGGTGGTTCTCTTCTCAGGCTATTATTAATATTGTTTATTTACTGTGAGTTGCTGTTGAGCCTGAAGGTCTCAGTTGAGATTCTGGTGGTTTTTTGAATCTGGGTGTGCATGTGAGTATGTGCACAAAATATGCCTCCTGTTTTTCCTTAGGGCTTCGATATGCAGCCTGTCTGTATAATGTCTTTGATGCTGGTTTTTTTGTGGTGGGGAGTGCTTTTAGTCATGAAATGTTAATATGCTCCCAGTAGAGGTAGCAATAGGAGATGCTGCCTTTTGATCAGCCTGAAAATGCTGTTTATATTGATGGGTACAGACAGGAGGTGAGGGTGGGTTGGGACAGAGGTGGGTATAGATGATTGACCACTCTCTTTTCAAGTGTTCCTGTACCTATTAGCTCTTCCTGTTTGTCTTTTATTTTCTTTTTGTTTCTGTTCTCAAAGGAGATCGTAACAGACAAGCTCTGGTTTCCGAGAGTTCCAGAATTTCCATCTCTCCTAGCAGGCAGAAATGTTTGCCTTTATATGAAGAGTTAAAGATAATCTTTTTATATAAGAGCTCTACCTAGTTTTGGTCCTCTGCAACAAAGGGTGCTGATGCTGTTTTCCTCTAAAACATCTGTGCATGGTTCTCAAATTCCACTTAATATGATGCACATAAGGGCAGGCAGGGCCAAAAACTGTGCTTTTGCTTTCAATCCACATGTCATCGTGTTACTGCTTAGTCTCACGCCTCTTGCCTGAGGTGTCAATAATTTTTATGGAAAAGAAAGAAGTTCACTTGCTTCAAGTCACATGGGGTTTACTGAACACGAAGAAGTCTGTGAGAAACTCTTAGTCTGACTGACTGCACTTAAAACACAGCTGCCTGGGAGCGTTCCTCCGAGCTCCCTCCTGAAGAGGAGAGCTGGAGAGAAACATTGAGGAAATCAAGTAGGGCTCTTAATATTCATAAATCAAGTGGTTAACTTACTCCATGTCATGAAAGCCAAGCACCAGTACTGTTAATGAGGTTAAAGAAGTTTAATTGGCAGGTATGGAGCAAGAGACTGCTATGAGTGTAGTTTCTAAGTGATTAATAATAATAGGCTTTTAGTTAATGAGTCAAGTGGACAAGGCCCTGGCCAGATAATCTGAAGAAATTTGGTGTTCACCATGTACAGAAATTTGATGATATATCTGCAATGTCATCCAGCCATGGAAGAGTAGTTTTGCAGAAGGAGAGGGGAAGGTGGTGCATGTTTGTGTGTTCTCACATGTCCTTGTGGTCTCCCAAAAACTGTTTCCAGGAGAAAATATTCTCACAGGTCACACAGGTTATCAGTCAGGGCAGAATGCTGGCGATGCTCTGGTGTTCCCACTGCTCTCTGCAGTCTAAATGGCTTTTGCTTTCTCAGCTCTGTAGGAAGATATTATAAATTTCCACTTAACACTTCACAGGGAATACGGTTTAACTTGTTTCCAGTAAAGTTCTCCAGCAATTTTGACAAGTTGAGCACCGTGTAGAAACCAACTGCAGGTGACACATTAAATAAGCAGAGCTCCTGTGTCCCAAGAAATCTTTTTGCATATTAGGTTACCTTGTCTCTTTTACAGCATATTCATTTCAGGTCGATCAAAAGAAACTGCTGCCATCTACATTTTTAGAAGTAATCTGATAAGATTGTTTCTTTTGCAGTCACTTTAAAAAAGTACATTTTGAACTAAGGCAGCCAACTCTGGTCACTGACTTGCCTCTGAACAGCATTTGTGCATTTTGTGCTATCAAGAATATACCTGAATAGCCTCTCATTTTCTGTATTTGTTGTTTCATAGCCATCCCTGCACCTTTGGTTGACAGTCTGTAATGTCACCGAACACCTAAACACGCTCCAGCCCATGGAGGTTTCCAAGGTAACACAGCCACAGTCACATGGAAAGGAGGAAACAGAAAACAAAGCAAAAAGCCCTGCAGCATTTCTATTTACTCAATAGTTTAAAAACCACTAAAAAGTAATCCTCTAGCATAAGCTGACTGTATTGTCATGCTAAACAGGTTTATCTCGCTTCTCCTTGATTTTCATCGGGGCTGTGGAACGGCAATTCCTTGCTGATAAGGGTAGTTATTGGAGTATTGCTTGGAGCAGACCTTAGAAGATACTTCACAAACATGGACAGAATAGACAGTTTCTGCCTATTCTGAAGGAAACACAGAGAAAACATGTTGTATCAACACTAACAAGCAGGTTATCCTTTCCAGCATCAGTGCTAATGATGGTGAAAAGGCTGAAATTAGTGCAGCTATATATGTTTTATGAGACTTGCTTCTGAAAGGCACTGGCCTTATTTACACCAAATTAATGTTTCCTTTCAGTTGGTATAATGGACTAATTAGTGGACAAATTATCAGCAGGTGGTATTGTTTTTAAATTCCTTCTTTCAGTTCATGGCACGTCCAAGTGTCACCGTACTTCAAAAGGCAGCAGCCCATCTAAAAGTGTTCCAAGTATTTCTCCTCTTTATTGTGTTGACTTCTGGCAGTCTTGAAAGAACTTGGCTTAGGTACAGAAATTATATTAGTTTTGTGGGTGAGTGTTTTTCTGCAAGCAATGGACAGAAATCAAGTGTCTGCATCAGTACTATTATACCTATAAAGTCATGTGTCATTCTTCTGGATACAGCTTCTTTTCTGCATTTCTCCTTAGAGCTTCCAGCCTTTTAGTTGGCTTTATGTTCCTGTGTGTCTCGGGGGGCATCAGGAAGATCAGTAAGGAGTCACTAGAAGTTTGTGGGTTTTTTTCTCCTTATGCTTATTCCAGCTCAACTCAGCTGTGATCCATCTGTTCAGGAGGGGGTTGTTTCCCTGAGGGGTGGATGAAAGTGTCTGAGTCAGTGATGGTGGATTGAGAAGGAGTCAGAGGACATGGCAAGGGCAGTGGCAGCCTTGTGCCTTTGATGGAGAGAGCACATCCACGATAGCCAAAGGGGTTCACATCTTTGCTCTTGTCTCTGCTCAGGATGCAGAGACTTTTCTTCTGGACGCCCACATCATCTCCAGCTTCCCAGGTATTTACCTTAAAATTAGACTGTGGAGACAGAACATAATGTTTGGAGATGTAGGTTGATGCCAAGTGCAACAACTTGTTTCCTGCTGAGTACAGAGGGAACCAGGGTTTGGGGATCTTTTGGTAAAGTTGGTTGTGTCTGCAGCTGAGGACCAGCCTGCCTGAGCTCCTGCTGCCGTTCCCTGCCACGCTGCCACATCTGTGGTCATCAGCAGCACTTCTGTTGGAGCCCCTTACAAAAACAGACAGGGCAGTGCTGGCAGCATGTTCCTACCAGCAGTGCCAAGACTCTGGAGCTGCTCTCTGCACCCACTGGCTGTGAAGTGGTTCAAATCTGGGGATATTCCAGGAATGCTGCAAAACCCACCTGTTCAGGAAGGTCTTTGGAGGGAGTTGGGTGTTGGCTTCCCGAGGCTGGCAGCTGGTGCAAAGGAGTGTTTTTCTAGGAGAGAGACTTGCTGGGTTCCTTCTGGAAAAATTACTAAATGCTGGTAGGGCTTTGTTGTATTAGTAATTACCTGTCAAAGCACCTGAAGCTTTTCATTCTTAAAAATCAAACCATCCATGATTCCTAAAGAGCTGGAACTTGGGTAATAGTGGAAAGGAAGTTTTGCAAAGCTGTAAAAAGCTGCTTTGCTCAGACTTTTAGAAATCTCTGGGAAAAATTTCTCAGCTTTGTCCATCACCCTCTGTGCTGGGAAATGGCGACGAAATAGTACTGAAGCAGCTACCTAAGAAAAGAAGTGGGATGATGGATGCTGTGCCCTTTTCAAACGATGGTTCGTAAGACATTTGGGGATTGTTCTTCAGAGACCATTAAAAAGGAGCTTTAGAGGAGGAGAGACAAGTTGTGTGGCAGGAGGATCAAGAAGGATGTGTGTGTGCTGTGTGGTGTCGTAGATCAGAACGATACCAACCTTTTGAAACTAATTGCAGCAACTAACAGTTACGAGCTGCACTTACCTGTCCCCCTTGTATTTCTTAGGCAGCTGCTACTCTGATATTTAATTACCTTTAGAATTGGCTGTGTAGATTGTTGGGGGCAAAAAAAGGAATAAATGCTTTTGCGTGCTCGAACTGGAGATTTTGAGGGAAGGCATGAGATCTGGAAATGACTGGATAGATGTTAGCAATGCTGTATGGGATGTGGGTGTTATTGGTGGGAACATTACTGGGAACATAAGGAAAATGTGCACTTGGATAACATGGCCAAGGCTATGCTGTGGTCTCTGTGCTCAGCAGAGATGTACAAGCCCTCTGTGATTCCTCCAGCTGCATCACAGCAGCAGCACTTCAGAGGAGGGGCAGATGCACAAAGCTTATCTGGTTACATCTCAATAGAGCTCCCGCTCGATATTGATATGAGCTTTGAAGCTCTCCAGCCACCGTGCATAAATGTTTCAGGGGTAAGATGCGCTCTGAACACAGAGCTGTGTCTGACTCATCCCAAGAAAGCAGCCCCTCCTGCCTGGCAGCTCTTCTTTTCCAGATTTTGTATTCTCTTTCTTCTGTCGCCGCTGGTTGTGCACCTTGTACCATCAATAATCAGCTGGAACATGCAGATGGAGTTGTTTGCCTATAAAAAAAAAAATCTGATTTTTGCTTAACTCCCTTTCAGTTATATAACTAATTTTCAATACTTAACAGGGTAAGCCACACCCAGAGTACTGTGCAGGTGGCCTGGTCTGGCTACTACAAGCAACAGCCCATCTGGCCAACTTAAGTGGGTTTATGTGGGAGACATTCTTGCTGTCCTTGCATCAGAAGAGAGATGCTCAATTCTAATTGCAATATTTTTGATTATTGCTCGAAGTAGTGACAGTGATCAAAAGTTCTTGGTTTCCCTGTGGTATCTCTACACTTTCCTGCATCTTGTGTCCAAATAGGAACTCCTGGCTCCTGCTGCACCATCCTGCAGTGAATTAGAAGGGATTTCTCTGCATTGCTTATCACCAGTGGTCATCAGGGGTGATATCTAGGAGCAAAGTCTGGCTAAACCAGAGCACAGTGCTTTTCTACAGCCCAGCTTGTATTACACCTGAACTTCAAACCATCCTCCCTTAACATTACACCTTTTGTCAGCTGCTGATATTAAACTTGCCTCTAATTTCTTTGAGAGTGGAACAGGACAAATAAACCATAGATGCTAATGACAGATTATTTACTTATATTTTTTCCTGATGCTCCAGGTCACAGACTCAGACTATGAGGACGAGTTGCCAAAGCACTCCTTTGTGAACCACTACATGAGCGACCCCACCTACTACAACTCGTGGAAGCGGCAGCAGAAAGGGGTGAAGCACCCGGCGTCCTACAGATACGAGGAGTGCACGGCCAGCGAGACAGAACCCTATTTCCAGACTGTCATCACGACACAGAGCTCAGGAGGGGTGTACACCCCCACGGGACAGCCCGCGCCCGGCTCCCGGACTCCAGTGACAGGGTTCTCCTCCTTCGTCTGAGCCGGAGCTGGGGGACACGGCCGAGCCACGGGTGACACCCGGGGGACCCGTCGCAGGGACTGTGTGTGCGTGACCGGGGCGGTGAACTGTGGGTGACTCCTCTATCAGGGTAGAAACGGATGGGAACACAGATGAGGCTGGGTTGGTGTTTTGTTTTTTTTCCCTGAAGACAATCAACTCTAAAAAAAAAGAAAAAAAACGCGGAGCTGAACGAGCTGAACATTTGTTTTAAAAAAAAAAAAAAAGAAAAAGACAAAAAGGAATTCTGAAAAGCGATGATTTTAACCACTTGTGAATAGTAGGGGTTTTTTAACTGCTTTTTGTAACACTGCTTCAGGAAGCAGCTCCCATGCCCTTCTCTTTCCTCTTTCTTTCTCTCCCCTCCTTCTGTCCCACCATTCCCAAACAAGCAGGTGAATTCCCTAGATGCAATGAGTGACTTCGTGATGTGATTTGAAGAGAAAACATAAAACCTTCCAGGCTCCTTTTTCTTCCTTTTTCTCTACTCTTTTTTTTTCTTTTTTTTTTCCTTTTTAAATTTTTCCCTTTCATCAAGGTCAAGTAGAAAAACATAGAGAAGGGACAAATTTTTAGGTGAAAAGCAGACACCTTCTCTCTCCTCTTCTCCTTGCTGCTCCCTACATTAGGAGCACTGGCTGATCAACGTAGGCTCAGATGTGTCACTCTGTCTGCTCTAGCTCACTACTGGTGTATTTATACTGAATTACTGACCTGCTTTTCTTTCTTCTTCAAATGGGACCTGCTGCATTCTTTAAATATTCCAACTCCAGGGCCTTTGGAAGAGAAGATGGCTCAAAAGAGCACTGTAGGCAGCGGTGGGTGAAGCAAATGGGAAGAATTCAGATGCAAGGTCAGTTTATTTTTGGCGTGGCTCTAATCCTCCCCTGTGGACTGCGTGTACCATTTGAATCAGTCATTTTTTAGAAGTCGAAGGACACAACCCAGCAAGCCAGAGGAATTTTTCAATTAAAATTGCAGTGACAAGCTAGAGAGTCTACTAATTGATGAGGGGTTTGATCATCAAAGTTATCCTGCCCTGCCAACAGAAGTTGAGCATCCTTTCTCACCCAGACACTGCAGTCCTGTTTACTGGTCTGTGAAAAAGTACACAGTGGCAGGGTTTGTTTGATTTTATTTCTTTTAGTACAAAGACACATCACACAGACTAGGAGAGTTTTGGTGTCCACAGGTGCCTTTTATTGATTCTTCAGCTTCGTATCTGGGAGAAGGAACAACATGTCTCCAAATAAAGCTAACCAGGTTTTTCAGGCATTAGGGTCATGAATTACCTTGTGCACGTTTACAGCCTGTTTGTGCACTTGAAACTGTGACCCTTGGAAAGAAGAGAGGGGAGTTTTAGTTTATTTTCCATCCTTTTGTACAGCTCACTGTTTTTTTTCTTTTCTATCCTTTTCACGAGTCTTTCATGTTTTAGCAGCAAGTTATTCACTCACAAGGAAGTTGTCAGAATCCAAGTCCAGCCCTTGGACCTGAACAGTCCTGGTTCACCAGACTTTTTATCGCAAGAGTTTCAAAGGTGAATTTGGAAGGAGGCGAGTCCTTGCCACTCCAGCATCTGGCATTTCCTCCCAGGTGGATCAGCCAGAAAAATTGGTGCTTGCTAAAGTCCCATCAGGGCACATGTGGGCACTGTTACTGTTGAAAATTGCCCCTGTCCTCTCTAGGGATGTTGTTTTATCTCATCTGGGGATGCAGGACATCTGTGGCATGGGGTGGTGGTGTCTTCAAGGCAGGTTGTTGAAACCAACCTGCCCATGAGGCCTGGTTGGAGTATCCTGGTGGCACCTCACCAGAACAGTTGAGGTTCAAGGGCAAACTCAGCCTCGCTGTCACCTTTCAGTGCCTCTTGGACAGGGCAAACAATCTCAGAACTGCTTTTACTCTTTGGCACTGCCTCTGAGCACTGCTGCTCTTGGTGCATGCAGATTCTGGATAGCTTTGGCACTGGATTGCTGTTCCTCTCCAAAGGCTCCAGAAAGAAAAAGTCCAAAACCAAAAACTCCAGTGGGTGTGTTTAAGGGCTTTTGAGTTTGGGATAATGATCCGCAGCTCATTAGATGGCGAGGGATGCACAAAGACACGGGCTTGAGCCAAAACCCTGTGAGTCATCCCCCTCTCTGCACCTGGGTAGGATGTGTGTGGGATGGAGAAGGGGCTCCAAAGAGGATGACTTGGAGTTTGCTGTGAAGAGGAATGCAAAGCAAACAAAAAACCCACTGCCTTCTGTGCACTTTGACTGTTCTCTTAAGCCATATGGACTTTGCTTTAATTACTGAACTGCCAAAATTTGTTTGCAGTCTGAGTTTTTTGTTTCTTAGACAAAATTATCTACGTGGCTTTCTGTTTCGTTTTCTTTTTCCTTTGTTATTTTGTGCATCAGATTACATATTTTAAATGCCTTGGTTTTATACATTTGCCATAGCAGTGCAATTGCTCTTGGAGTTTTAATGGCGCTTATCCAACAGGTATGAGAGGTAGTGCTGCAGGAGGAGCCTTTCAAGGACCACTAAGTACTTAGGGATATAGATTAGTAGGAAGCAGATCAAACACTGAAGAGTTTGCTCCAAAGGAAAGCATAGTGTGAGTAGCTCCATATCTCCTGAATATTGCCAGATCAGAATTGGTGTAAGGTGCAGTTACTCCCTGGGGCTGATCTGATACCACATTGAGCAAAAACAAAGCAAGAAAACCACGGGGAGTAAAGGAAATGGACTTTGTGGCCACTGCTCTGCTGAAGGACAACACGGGGAGCAGCATTATCTATACAAAGCAAGGAGAAGAGACTGTCCCTTTTTCCTCAGAACCAGCTGCAAGTAAAAAGCCTGAGCTTGCTGAGGACCTGCTGAGTTGGCTGTATGGCTCTTTTCTTCTGACTGCTGCTGAAATAACAGGTTACGTGTGATTCCTTTAGGACCTGTTGATCCAAACGACGGCGTTTCTGTTCCGTTCTCATCCACACTGTTGTCGCTCTCGGTTATGTTTTGTTTAGGAGTTGGCTGTTCTGACATGGGGGTTTATTTTCAATAGGCAGTTGCAGAGTGTGGAGGTGCAGTGCCCTGCTCAGCCCTGAGCTGAGCACAGGACAAGTGTTCTGCTGCCCAGGATCCTGGGTAGCTACATGGATGATGCCTTATGCCTCCTTGCTGATGTGCTGTACTTGTAAAATATGGTTAATGGGTAGGTTTTATTTACTTCAGGTATCAGGTAAATTGTTTTATCTGGAAGGACACACTCCATCAGTTAGCAAGAAAGCTCTATTTCACAGCTGCAATCTTTGGGAATTGCAGCCTTGAAATACGACTTTTAAACATTAGTTGTCATGTTCCAGTAACTTCACCCATCAAATCCACTTCCATTTCCATCTTCCTGTTTGGAACAGTCTTGAAAAATGAAGGCTTATATTTAAAACGCATTCTTAGGATGGTTTATTTTTATTTATTTATTTACCTTCCCCTTTCTCAGGTCTCTTGGTGGCTGTTACTAAAAAGTAAAAACAGCATCACAAAATGGCCAAGGGAGACATTTCAGCAAACAGTTTAACAGGAGCTTGTTTTTCATGCAATAGCCATAGCAATATCCAATTTCCTGCAGGAAAAAAAGTGCCCAAGTCTTCACCCTCTCCCAGGGCTGAGACGACACCAACCACCGCTGTCACCAGTGCTCCCAGCACCTTGTCCCTGCCATAAATCACGTGCAAAAGTGCACCACGCAGAGGAGCTGTACTGTTCCAGCCCACTCCAAGTGGAGCATTTTATCCCTCAGTACTCCATATCAGACCTGGTGCGTTCCCACCACAGCCCAGAGCCTTGGGTGGAGTGTTTTCCATTCCCACCTTTTCACGCTCCCGATGCTGGTGCAGGGCCAGCGCTGTGGGTGCAAGTGGCAGCGGTGACAAGGGACAGGAGAGGGCACTCTCTTGCTTTCATCTCTGACAGTCTCTTTTTCCTTACCCTGGGAGTCAGAAATGCCTTCATGGGGAGGGGAGGGAAAGGTGAGAGCACAGAGCAAAGGGTTTCATCAGAGTTTACTTAAGGAATCACACTGTGGCCAGCAATCCCACTTTTGCTAGAAGTTGGCATTACCGGAGAGAAGAAAGAAAAACATACCAAAAAAAACCCCAAAACAGAACAGAACTATTACCCAAAAGGATTTTTCCCCTCTTCATTTTGAGTGTTAAAACCAGTGACGTTTTGCAGATGGGCCAAGATCTCATTTTTCCTACTTATATCCAGGTCTCTGCCAGAAACTGCTGTAGCAATTGTTTAGACTAAATATCCAGGCCTGTCTTGACATGGAGATACATTTATTATCTTTGTCGATGCTTCCCTCAAGAAGTCCATTGGGTCATCCAAAGATTATCCAATCTGCTTTCCAAAAAGGGAGGAGAGAGATACGTTTATACATACAGAGCACCGATGTCTTCTCCCACTCACTGCTTTCAGATAAGCAGGCAACTTGTTTGAGAAAAATCCTTTTAAAAAAGGAATTTGTCGAGAAGCTTTTAAAAAAAAAAAAGCAAACCACCAGACAGGAAAGATAACCTTTGGCAGAGTCATTAGAAATCCTGAAGTCTATAAACCTGGGACATGTAAGACTGCCCATGATGCCAAGACCTCCTGTCTTTACCGATCTCCTGTGTCAGTAGCAGCCAGAAGGGCACACACACAGCAAGGGGTGGTATTTGGAGAGGAAAAGCCATCACAGAACATCTGGTGCATGGGCAGGTTATACTGCAGACAGCTTCCCTTAGCCCGGAGTTCCTGCTAGTTCAGTCACATTCCCTAGGTTGTTTTTATAGGTTTTTGCCAGCTCGTGTGGAATCCACACATCGTCACGGCATTACTAGAGGTGGGGGAGGGTGTGTTGGTGTGGCATTTAGACAGAGCTCCACGTGTGATGATGTGGTTGTTTGTACAGTACTCATTGAAACCTTCTTATAGAAACTACCCCTGGATTTAGGAGCACATTCACCCCAAGACTGAACATGTTGGGTCTGAAATGGCTCCACCTGACAAGTCATAGAATGGTTTGGGTTGGAAGGGACCTTAAAGATCATCTCATTTGAATGCCCCTGCAATGGGCAGAGACACCTTCCACTAGACCAGGTTGCTTCCAAGCCCTGTCCAACCTGGCCTTGAACACTTCCAGTCCCTTGGGTTCTTTGTATTTCTGTACTCCTTTTCTCCTCCCCCAGGCCCCCCAGACAAACAAATCTGGCTTGCACTTTGTGAAGGTGTAAAGTTTGCTGTGCCCGGGTAGTAGAGAGCCACAGCAGATAAGCACACACAGAACAGTGGGACAGGTGAGATATGTTTGAACAAGGAGTGAAATACCATTAGCACTTGAGATTCAGGCTCTGACTCAGACTTTTATCTTCTCCAAGCTGCCACCTGCCCACTTTAAATGGCCTTGGGGCCTCAAGGCTTGGCAGGAAATTCATTATTCCGATGCTGTTTGATCACTGTGCACTTTCTTGGGGCTTGAATCACTGGATATAGAGACAGGAATGGGGTTGCAGAGCTTTATGTCAAAGTGTTTTCCCATTTATGTCCAAATCTCTAGATCTGGGCATTTCTGCTACCATGGAATGGTGGCATTCTGCAGTTGGGGCACCCGGAAAGTGCCACCAGCACTCCCCCTTTGATGCCATTACACCCCTGGGCAAGTGCTGGAACCTGTCACGGTGCAGTGGGAGCTCTCAGGTAGCAGAGAGGTGCAAGAGCCCCATATTATGGTTTGTAGCTGGTCACTTTGCCACTCTTGGGATGGAGTCCGTCCTCTGGTTTGGGATCTGCTGTCAGTTTAGGGGTAGGACCACCTTACACAGCTGTGTTTGAGTTACCCTCGGTGTGCTACGGTTATCGGATCGTTGCTTTTAATTCAGTGTCTCCTTGGAGATTCACCCTGGATTTTTGTTCCACACCTCTTGTTAGCCTCACCTTCACCACTCCACTATTTTATATGAGAAAGTTACTTCTTCTTTTGCAAACTTGCTTCTGATTAAAAGAAACCCTTTTTGAAACCGCTGTGTCCTTGGTACATTTATTTTGTGGAAGGGAAAAAAATACTTTTCCAGGCTCTTCTGTTATTGAAGAAGTTTCTGGGTGCCTTGCCAGTGTGCTCACGAGTTAACAGCTCAGGACAGTGAAAGTGTAACGGGCTGAAATTCCTCACTGTTTGTTCTGGACTGTAAAGTCTTATAACCCCTGCTGCTTCTCAGCTAAACTGACACTCTCAAATAGTTTCCACCCAAAATTTGATCAGCTTTAAATATTTTATTATTTTGCAGTGATAAACTTCCTCCAGATCCTTAATACAAGAGAATCACAACCCACTTAGAAATAGAAAGTCATGAGGCCAACACTTTTATTGCCTTTGTCCCCTTGCAAATAATATTTGTCCTCCCCTGCAGTGTTGTAGCAGCCTTTAATCAGTTCCCACAAACGTGCAGATGTTGGGGAGGCAGAACCAGATCCCAGCTGGGGGAAATCAGGGCAGCTCTGTTATTCCAGGGTGGGTGGTTGTGCTTTTCACCCACTGAGCATCTGGCCTAGAGAAGTAAACTAAACTCAGTCAGGTCAGCTACAGCTCTGGTGGGAGAAATGAGGGCGAGAAATCAATGTTTTCCAAATGGGAGAAGGGAAAAAAAAAGTCAAACTGTGAAGGAAAGAATTCATATTCTCCTGCTCCTGAAAGGGATATTATAAATAATGCAGTGTTGTGTAAATACAGGAAGCCCTCTGCGGCTGGGAGCTTGTAATAACCCAGAGGTATCACTGTACCCATTTTGAAGATGAAAATCCTCCCGCCACAGCATTTCGTGAACGAGACATTATTCTGCAAAATTGCCATTAGATGCAGAAGTGCTTTTTTGAGGCCATTCAGCTCCAAAATGTATCATCCTCCAGCTTCCAGCCCTTACTTACTCTTCTCAGGACGTGTTTCCTCCACACATGTTTTTGTGGATGGAATTGGAGCACGGACCTAAACATGGGAGTGGATGGGAAATCTGCCACAGCATTTGTAACCTAAACAATACCAGAGAAAACAGATTGGCTTCCCGCCCTGCCCTGAACAGCACAAGCAGTGGCTTGACTGAATCAAGTAATCTGGGCTTTCATTACTGATCCTTTTCCTGCTATTTGTCTCTTTTGTTCCCTCTTTTTCCCCTCTGCGTTTTTGCTCTAGGGTTATTTATTTTTCTCCTTGCTGCTTTTATTTTCTTTTTCTTTTTTAAGCCTACCTCTTGTTTTTTATTATTTTTCCTCTCCTCTTCTTGCCTCACTAATTATTTTCATTTCAAACCTGCATTTCCCACAAAATCAAAAGGAACTTCGTGTGAACATGTGTTTTTATTGGGTTTTTGTTCACTTCCACTGTGCCCCAGGAGTTCTTTAGCTTTGCTGTCTTGTTTACTTGGGAATGCTGGGCACGTCCCTCCAAGCCAAGTCGGTGTGGCCGCTGACTTCCCAGGCTGGTTGAGACCTTCATTAAGTAGCAGTTGGCACGTTCATCACCATTTGTTAACGAGGTAGGATAACCCTAAATCAGACGTGAAATCATTTTTTGAGGTTTTACAAGGCAAGTTTGTCAGCGGCGCTGAAACTGTGAAGTCTTGGGGAATCAGAGAACCTGCACCCGTGTGTGGAGGAACAAGGAAACTGCAAACCAGGGTTGTGTGACAAAAATGTGTTCAGAGGAAGAAGCGACCGACGCCCACGGTGTCATTCAAAGGTAATTCCCTGCACTGTGCAACTTCCAAGGGGTTCAGTGCACCCGTCTGCACCCTGGAAAAGCAGCAGTGGCAAAGCCACGGACTTGTTCTTCACCCTGAGCTTTGCTAATCTTGAGTTTGTGCCCTTTGTGCGCTTGACAGAAGGTGGAGATAAGGCTAAAAGGTAAGTTTGAAAAAAAAAAAGGAGCATGTGTAATATGGTCTGGGGCCTCATGCCAAGAGTGACAAAATGCCTTACAAACACAAGTGACCTCACCAGAGCCCTGTCAGATTGGGAAGTATTAATATCCCGCCTTTGGTAGGAGGAAATTGAGGCACAGGCCAGCTTTGCCTGTGGGACCAAGCTGCAGTCTGTGGCTGGTATCACGGTGCCCAAGTGGCCTTGATTGCAAATGTCCTCAGCATAGGGCGAAGAAAACACATCTTTCTTACCAAACAGCAGGATGAGTTATTTTTGGGTCTTTATAAATTGTCTGTTTTCCAGCACTATCATTCTTACCCTACCAGGGGAACATGACTGACCTAATTAGAGTCTAATTCCAACAGTACAAGGCTCAACTTGTAAATACAAAGTTTTCTTTTTAAATTTTAAGGTATTTTTTGTGTATGTAAAGGCTTATCTAATTGGTATAAACACTCCAAAGGTGGGGAGCAGGGGAGGAGCAGGGCTATGGGAGTCATCAGAGATGCTGAACTGTGGAAAATTTGGGATGAATAAGGGCAAATTTTCAGATTGATTTATGAGACCGTGACTTAATCTGCTGGTAGACTGTATCCTCTGGGATTAAACCTCACATAACCTGATGGAAATTAGGAAATGTTTTATGCCCCACCATGGCAGAGGAAGGATTCACTATTTCAATCCTCTGTCCAGCAAAAAATATCCAGGGTGATCAATGAAGACACTTTCATTGATCCATAGCTGTCTCCGCACCACAGAAGAAATTAAAAGGTGAGAAAAAGATGCTCGTTTTCAATGAAGCCCATTCCATGAAGCCAGCAAGGGTTAATCCAACCAGCCAAATGCCTGGCTTTAGCTGCAATAGAGAAATCCTCCCTGTGGGGTTGAGTGATAAGCCTCCTGCCATACCTGCTTGGATTCTCAAGGACTGTGCCTGAACATGTTCAGGATGGCTCACATCCAACAGCCGCTGACAGGGAGTCCACAATGCCAAATGAATCACGAGGCAAACAGCTTCATCCTTGCCCTTAGTACACTGAATGTGTCCAGAAAAAACATCCAGAACCCAGGCACTGGAGACAGAAGCAATGGGCCAAACTCTGCCCTTGGGCAGCGATGTGGCTCTGAGCACCAGGTCTGGCCGAGCAGAGATCCTGGTTCTAAAAGAGATGACACTCACTGGGCTGTTTCTAACATGTGTCCTCGTGAGATAGGGTGGGTTTGGAGGTAAGGGGATTCTGGTAGAAAAGGCTGTATGTCACGTGTTTAGAGCTGGTGTCTTCAGGGTCATGTCATGATTTTTGTTTCTTTCTGGCTTGACTTCTTGGTTTGGAAGTGGCTCGGCAGAAATTGAGGTCATTGCAAATGATGCAATGATGCTTTCTGGGAAGCACTGGCTGCCTTGTCTGGTGATACCAAGCACCAGCTGGGAGGTCTGAAAAGACAGAGAAGTTCTGCTCTGGTACAATGTGAGACAGGCAAAGGAGAAGTTGTCCTTGAAGGATCTGGTGTCCAACCATGAGCAGGGAGTGCACAAAGCACTGCCCCCTCCGTGCTTTCTGTAATTGGTTCTATACTGTAACACTGGCTGTGGCTTATAATTTTCCATCCTTGCTTAGAAATTACAGAGGAGTGAAAGGGAGATGGGTCTCAGCTGTTGAGGCTTCAGGAGCATTCAGCAGTGTTGCTGGATGAAAGGAGCAACGTGGTGTTTTGCTCTGCGGAGGTCTCAGAAATACCCAGGCATGAAGCGCTGTGTGGTTTTGAGCTTGGTGAGAGGGAAGGCAGAAACTGGTGCCAGCCCTTGGTCCTTCCCTGGCTGCTGGAGCTCTTTGAGGATGTCATACATCTGGTGCTTTCCCATTTAGTCCTTTCGAGAGGCTCTTTTGAGAGCAAGGTTTGTAAGGAAGAGCCAGGAATAAACAGCTTGTGATTCCATTTGTGGGACAAGAGGAAAATAAGAACAGAATTGTTAAAGATGGGACAATCAGTGAATAAAAGCCTGGTTATTAACAGGGCTGACATTTTGCTGTGGCTCTTAGAAGAGTGTTGTGTGTTACAACGTGACTTCTCCCACAGTATGTGGAGGAAAGGAAAACCTTTGGGTCTACAATACAGCAGCTAAAAAGCCTGAGATGCAGCAGAGAGTGTATCTCCTGGGGGTAGCCTTCTACCCAGTGGTGTGCATTCACACAGGACTTCTCTTCCCTTGGCCTTGGACAGTGGTAAAATCACCTGTCCTCTAGGAGGGATTCTGTAGTTTAAATTTTTGTATCTCTGTCTCTCTGGGAGCTTTTACAAACTGAAGTTCTGCAAGAGGTTCAATATCATCTTCTGTGCCTCATCAGTTCAGTTGGTCTAAGATGTATTTGTCCCATTTTTACAGCTATGACTATGGTCAGATATCACAGATCATGTCTCCTTCTGTTTGTGTTAACCATGGTGACCATCAGCTTTTGAACCCCCACATACCTCAGTTTCCTGGCCACTTGTTCCCTCTCAGCACAGAGGAGTGCAGGGTGTTGGCAGAAGCAGAAGGGCTCTGTGCTCCAGGACAACGGTAACACAAACACAGGGGAAGTATCCAATGCATGAAAGCCCAGGACCCTGCCACTGCTGGGATAAGGAGTGGCAGATAATGTGTGAGCTAATATTGAACCAGGATTGTTGCTGGGGTGGTGTGGCAAGAGCAAACATGCCAGGATCACATGGTGGCCGGAGGACAAGCAGGGAAGGTGTGCAGGGCCATGGCTTCAGTGCTGTCCAGGACCATTCCAGGACACCCTGCCATGGGGGATGCAGGGTCACACTGAGTCACTGCTCTTCTCCCCAGGGTACAAAAATTAATAGTCTTTTTTATAGCCCTGTGCACATTGCCAGGGCTTCCGCAACCTTGGGATTTGTTATTAACAGGGAAAGCAGTGTCACTGTGTTGGTGTCAGTACGAAGGGCGATGTCTGAAAGGCTGAGGCCATATCTGCTCCTGACCCAGAGGAGGACATTCCTTTTGGATCACTCTGGGTCCTTCATAGGTACAGATCATTAACCCTTGAAACATCACTAGGGCTGTAAAGCAGCTCTGTCTTCTAATATA